TAAATTAAATATATTTTTTTCTTTTTTCGTGATTTCCTGCGAAACAAAGCAAAAAGGAGCATATGTCTATAGGACTTTTTTTCTTAGTTTTTTACTCCTCTACACGCTCCCGAAGTTTTGCCATTTAATTTGGAAACACCCTGTATATATACACACACTGTAATTATACTACAGCGTATCTTTAAGCTCCTATCGGACTATAAAGATTAAAATACAACCAATCAGGATAAAGCAAACTAGAGATTAAAATTATCTTATTCCTGGAACTCTAATCTCCATTTCTTGGCTTTTAATGCATCTGATACAAGTTTCATTCATCGCTGACAGATTTTTTAACTCTAAAATAGTTTAAAACATGTCCCACTTTAAACACTTCACTGTCTTTTCCTCAACAGGGGAATCTTAAATCGTTTTAAATCTGGCTTTATGTACAAAAAGGCATCAAATATTCTCTCTCATTGACTTTCGAGACAAAAATAATATTTTAAACACACATTCGGAATACGCTCTTTTTATCTACACTTGCAATTAAAAGTGGATGTGTCGTCGTTCGACATGCACCTTCTGCACTCGATTGCTCGTTCTCTCTTTTGTTGTTTACACGAAAAGAATGAAAGATGCGGATTATTGGGGCGACTGTACTCACTAATGTGAATCTTGATGGTCTCCACTTGATTGTCGGAGTCGGTATAAGTCTTAACGATGAACTCGAGCGCCTCGCCAAGGAGAAAGCCCATCTGCAAGAATTACGAAACGTCATTACTCATCGTTGGCAAGCGCATACGCAGAGGTTATACGTAGGAGGCAGTAGAAGCAAGTTTGCCTTCCGGCATTTCTGCACAACGGAAAGTTATGAAACTTTATTGACAAATCGATACACAATTCATTTTACCTGCTCACCGACGCTGCGTACATTTTCGTAGAACAGCAACGAAAGCGCCGCGCCCGAAATAGTGACGAGCAAGTCCCCGTCCGCCATGTTGACGACAACGACAATCGGCTCTGACGTTGGCCGTGGTTTTAGTCGTCTGCCGTATATGCGCCAATCTGTAGAGTGCAACCGTAGAGGTGCAACGTTGCGTTTAGAAAACTGAGAAAATGCCCGTATTCAGAACGCTTGCAACGATTCTGAACAACACAAAATTGTGACATAAGACATCTTTAAGTCGTCTTTTAAACGTAAAAAAAACGTAAAAAAAAACGTCTCGTGACCCGTCCTTTAGACATTTTTTGTTGTCTGGAATGTTAGCGCGCTAACGTACTATACATGTATTTTACGTCACGCATATAGTGGGTGCATTAAGTACTACAACTGCTCACTAATGGCGAATTCGATTGGACGCACTCAGTGCGCACTAGTGTAATTAAAGCCGTTGTACACGAAATAACGTAAAGAAATGTTTATAAATAAACAGAGAGATCGATTAAATCGTGAAATTCTCAATACATTTTATTGTATTATTAAGTAAAATATGTACTTGATAATTCGAAATATTTGCATTTCATTTTTATACTTAAATTAAATTAGTGTACAACGGCTTTAATATGCACCAGTGCGCACTAGTTCTTCCAATCGAATTCTCCATAAGCCACTTCGCTCAGCGAGCACTTACATCTTATTGGCATATTCCGTTAGAACTAAAAATATAGACCACCAAACAGATATAAGCGCTCAGTGAGTGGTTGTGGTACCGAATGATGCACCCATTATAGAATTTCAGAGATTAAAGCGCGTTCTGAATACGCGCCCAAGTGTTTTATATATGTATAGAATTTAATATATGCGTATACATGTATAATTTTTATCATTTTTAATATAAAATGTATATTTAAATACAACAAATTGTCTTCTTGTTGAATCATGATATCCTCTAATTTTGCCGGTAAAAAAAGAATTGTCAGAAGTGGGATTCGAACCCACGCCCACAGAAGTGGACTGCGACCTGAACGCAGCGCCTTAGACCGCTCGGCCATCCTGACTTCGTGCTGCTCTCTGGACGATTAGGACTTGATGAGACTACGCGAATTCTTAGTCCGTATTCATAGTCGAGCCTTATATCTAAGGAAGCCTTAAGCACAAGGTCTGACTATAAATACGGGCATAAGACCCGAATTGCACGGTCGAATGATTCAAAATAGAGCAATTGTGATATATTATTATTTGACAAATGTATCTTCGCAAAAGGTATCGGAATTTAAAAACTATACGAATAGCCTCAAAGGGCGGATACGAGTCAAATATAATAGAGGATATTACGTGTGGAAATTATAATAAAGCTCCTAAATAAATTTAAATTTCTGATGTGAATACTTGAAGAAACGAAAGTGATGCCTCGAATCGAACAAAGAATCCTTTACAAGTACCGAACAATTGCGGACCGATCGTTCCCTTACTTAAAAAATGACACAATTCAAAGAGAGAATTAATGCCCGTATTCACAGTCAGACCTTGTACTTAAAGCCTGACTATGAATACGGGCATAAGCGTATAAAGCCTGACTATATGAATACGGGCATAAGTTTTTCAAAAAAAAGAGAAAAACTATTTCAATTTAACAGGAAAGTTGTATATTTCGACTTAACAGAAAATTATTGACTAATCAAATAATATTAACAAAAAGAATATACTCTTAGAAACAAAATCAAATTTCATTTTTTTATCGTTGTTTGACAACCTTTAAAATCCACCCTTTCTAAGTAGTGATCGATTTTGATATCCTACAAAATATAATGAATTATTAGAATAATTCATCAAAAGTAACACAACTCGAAATATCATCGGTTAATTCAATATTTACCTTGATCGATTCAAACGACTAAATTCAAAATAAAACAACGTTTTCTTCAAACTTGGAGCACAATAACTTAAATATTCTCTGTAGAAGACTCTCCTTTTCATTTACAAAAACGACACAATTCACTTTTGTAAAAAGTGTTATCTCTTTGAGAACCTTAAAAATGACACTACAAGTGCTATTTGATGGACTAACTGTTAAGTTATTTAAGTTAGCTTATTTTCAATGAGAGAGAGAGAGAGAGAGAGAGAGAGAGAGAGAGAGAGAGAGAGAGAGAGAGAGAGAGAGAGAGAGAGAGAGAGAGAGAGAGATTGATAGAGCAATCTTTATACCTACTCATTCATAGTAATGACATAAAAATATTTTTTAAGTTTTCAAAGTCACTTTCAAAGTAAGGGAACGCAAAATAGTCTTGTTTCAATGAAGTCACAGCGTTTTTGGTCGGTAGCGTGAGTAGCACAAGTTGCAAGCTTGTTACGTCAGCCGATGCTTCAATTTTAAAAGTGACACTTCGAGATTGACTGATGCAACAAGCTTGCGACCTGCGATTCGCGTTCTTATGTAGATCGGGTTTTAAGTAAATATGTCTTGAGTTAATATACGGCTTCGTCATTGGTCGATAATATTTTTGTACTCAATACTCAAGATTGTACTCAAAATTGTATTCGAGACCATCTTAAAGAATATGACTATGAATATCAGCTTTTGATTGGCTCTCAAAATTCAAGTATGATTTGTATCAAATTTAATTCTTTTTAATATTAAAATATGCATAAATGTGTATATCCTTTAAATATTCATTTTAAAATTAATTCATATGATATTCATTTTATATTCATTTTCAAATTCGAAGACAGATCGGTCTCAAATTTTTAGAACGTTAATTTTCGGACTTTGTAAAGTTAGACCCGGATATCAGATTTAATTCAAAATATTCACGAGTGCGTATATTAAACAGCTAAGGTAAACTTCCATTCTTCGCCTTACTAGACCTTGGAGATCCATGGATCTCTGGATTATCTCTAAAGCGATTTGTTGCATTCTTGAACTAAGACCTTTGTTCCTATCGTGTACTTGAGTTTTAGACTGTATGAATCAGAACGCGCATGATCTTCAGACTGGTAAAGACGGCGCCAGAATTATATGAGCCGGGTCTGTGGATTTATCTCTTGTAAATATTCATTAATCTCCTATTAATATTCATTTCGTCATGTCATTCTCGCGCCTCGAAGCAGTTGCGAGGAGTTCCGAACAACCCAATTAGAATAGAGTAAGCATGAAAACACACACACACACACACACACACACACTGCCACGCAAGATACTTGGTTCCATCTCTACACACTGACTCGCCCAAAATACTCTGCGAAAATCTCGCGCGTGCAGTCAAAGCGTACCTACAGAGCCACACACAGGAACAAGAGATACATACATATTTGAAGATTGGCTATATTTGCAGCCGCGAATATCGGCGCAAATGATGTAAGCCCACAGTGATCCCGAGAGCGTCGCGATTGCTTGCCACTAATCACGACCTCCATCGATATTTATTGTATCTCGTTGTCGTGTTTCTACCGTTTCTTCATCTTTTTTTTCGCGAACAATGACTGAACAAGTCTGGGACTATGTCGGGGAAAAATGGGAGCACATTGACCAATCGGTGAGTCGATGATCCCTCCCCCCTTTCACGGCATCCTTGACCTTCGTTGCGTAAGTACACAAATTTTTTTGTGCAAAACTCATTCTGTCAACTACTCATTCGTCCTTAACATACCTCATATATAATGAACTTGAATAACCCTCGATGTTTTTACGACGAAAAGCACGTAAACTTGATATCGCTTATAACATGGGAGAATATCTGATATTTCGTAACGCAAAACAGGATTACTTCTCTCTAAGCAGGATTATTTCCAAGCAGTTTGCGATAATATCGTAATTTCCGTCGTACTTCGAAAAGTTAATCTGCGGAAAGGAGATCTTCGAAATCGATATCGTTATCTAATTCGACTGACGATAATAAGATCTGCACGCTCAACTGCAGACGTGAATTATCATAAATTTTAATCTTAATATTCTCAAGTATATATTTTTAATAACATTTTTATTTTTATTACTTATGTACATATAGTATGTATAGACTGTCACAGCGGCTCGTCATTGAACTCGTCGTGTCACGATCGGAAAAACTGGTCGTTGACAGGACCAAAAAGGAATAATCAAGTTGTGAAATATATGCGGACAGAGATCTCTCGATTCTCTTTCTTGAAATTGATCTGCAATTTTTCTTACAGTTACCTATTTATACGAAAAAAATCTTAGAGTGCTAAATAAGAATTATTCTTACTAAAAAAAAAAAAAAGAAAAATACTTTTAAAAATTATATGTATTTTATTGATGCTATAAAGATACGACAGGTTATAGGACAGTTCAAAGATACGATTTATTAGACAATTTTATTACAGTTTATTACTTTGTCACAGTTTGTCTTAATATGTGACGTGGCGTGGCATAAATTCGTATTTTTCCTCTTGCGTTGTTTGAGAATCAATCTGTTCTACTTCTAATTTTTATACTGCTAAAAAACCGTTCTGTCAATGTGAAAGTAGGAGTATCTTTCTCGAGAATCTTTTAATAATTTTCTCTAACATTTTGAATGTTAAATGAAAAAGTATATTTTATGCTTCAAATAACAATGCGAAATTTTGTGAGATGTTTGAATTTCGTGCCAGGAAATTACGACGAAACAATGCCCGCTCGTAGACGTAGAGTGACCTTATATGTAGAAAGCAAAATGGCAGGGTGTTTGAATTTTCTTCCTGACTAGGTACATTTCAAGGTCAGATATTTAGAGAACCGTTAAAATTTTTCCAGTAATTAATTATTATTGGATGTCTGCAGTAGACAGTCTCTGTCTACGAAATTGCTTGCGCCTAACTTCAAATTCGAAGTAATTTATTTGACGTCTTCCGCTTCTTCAGAAGAGATCAATTTCAATAATAAAAATACGTTAGGGAAATCACTGCTTTCTGAAAAATCTATTTTCACAGAACTTTCGCCCAGGCAGGAACATAGATACTTGTGACGATCCTGCCATCTCTCTCATCTTTCCATTTTCAATAATTCCCTCAAAGTGTTATTTTTTCCTCTACTAGTTCTGATTACGCGTTTCGTTTTTCTTTTTTTTTTCGCACGACAGCAGAGAACTCTTAAAATCTTGATGATAGGGATGATGATTTC